GAAACTCGTTTTGGCAAACTTGCCCCAAATTGGGAAGGCCCCTATGCCGTGGCCGAGGTGCCACATCCTGGTGCTTATATTCTCCAAGACGCTGAAGGAAAGAGAGTTCCTAGAGTCTGGAATGTCAATAACTTGAAGAAATTTTATCCCTAATAAAATTCTTCCAAGTGTTTTAAGTCTTACTGTTCTTTACGTTTCTCACCTCGTGTTTATTGAGAATCATTTTACCTTTTATTCTATGTATCTGAGGTCAATCAGTTCATTTACTTCTATTAATAAATGTCACTTCACATTTGAAGTGCTTTGTTTCCTTCTAATTTTTTCGCACTAATGTACTTATTCCTAACTCATATAAAGTCCCTTACTTCTTCTTTCATCTGAAGTGAATTACTTTGGTTAATCCCTCAAGGGGCTTACTTCTTCTTTCATCTAAAGTGAATTACTTCTTCTTATTTCGTCTCAAGTACTCAGTTCTTTCATTCATAAAATATAACAAGAATATAAATCAAACATAAACAAAAACATAATTTCATTTAATGCAATAAAGTATTACAACTATTCAAATGTTTTACAAAAAGTAGAAGCCAAAAAACAAAGTTAATTCTCTGCTGGAGGAGGTGGCTCCACTGGCTCCTCTTCAGCTGGAAGAGGTGGCTGCTGCTCGTCTGGCAGAGGAGGCTAATCATCATCAGAAGGAACTGGATGAATCTCCACTTCTGGAATTGGTTGGCTCTTATCCATTCCAACTCCTTCCACTCCTGCCTCCACCTCATCTTCCTCTACCTCTGCCCCCTCTTCTTCCACTGCCACGAACTCGAAGTCGAAGTTCGGAGGGAAAACAGTGCGTCCATCAGCATCATGATCCCACTTCAGTTTGATTTCTGGGCGGAAGTCTGCTGACATACTTTCACCATCTTCCTCCACTCCAGCTTCTTGCTCTCCAAAGGTGATCCTTGTCACATCCACTTCGGGATAAACAGTCTTCACCTTCTTTCTGCAGTCCGTGAAGGCAATGATGGCAGTTGGCAATCGGTAGAGGTTGACGATGTTGTCAAACGAGCTAGAGCTGATGAAGTTGCTGATGTGCTCCTTCATCCCATTGTGCACCAAGGTCTGCACATTCCCCTTCAGCTCCAAGAACGCCTCCTTCGTCAGCTTTAACTCTTGTGCCAGAGCATCACGCTCGCTTTTAGAGATCTTTCGCTTGGTCTCTTCAAAGCCGAGCTTGGTGCCCAGGGAAGCCCTCTCCTGTTCCAACTGCTTCACAGTTGGCACCACCTCGTCCAGCGACGCTTGCAGCTCCTTATTCTTCTTCTCCAGCTCTTCCTTCTCCTTTTGCAGTTGGTTACACTGCCTCTGCAAGCGTGCGCGCTCCTTTGTGCTCTCTCTGAACTCCTGGGCTAGACCATTCACCCAGTTCGCGTTCTGCAAATCAAAGCAGAAGTTCAAAGAGAAAGAAGAGAAGAAGAAACAGCATAAATAAACAACATTACTAATTTAACATACCTCTAGAGCGTGCTTCACCACAGATGCTCCCCCATACCTCAGAGCTTCTTCCCGCGCGTTGTTTAAGTCCACTTTGGGGAAGGTGTTGTTGATGAACCACCTAGCCCCCGTCATGTTATTCGCTCCAAACAGGCTGCTCTGAGGCCCCAGTGGAGGAATAGGGCCCTTTCCCTTGCCAGGAGCTCGTACCTCAGCCCCCTCCTCCAACCGTCTGAGCTCAGGGTTCAGCTCAACAGGAGAAGGCTGAGGTACAAACTCAGGCACCTCATTCCTCTCCACCTCCTCCACCACCTTCTTCTTCTTCTCCAATGCCCTTCTCTCCTCCCAACCCTTTCTCTTCAGTGGTGGCACCTCCTCCTCCGTCTCAGCTGAAATAGCAGCTACCACCTCCTTCCCAATTCTCCCCTCATCCACTTGTCTGGTTGAAGTCCTCGACTTCTTCCTTGGCTTCTTGGGGATCGCCTTTCCTCCAGCTGTGCCCAGAAATTGATTCATGTCAGCTGCAAAGCAAGAAACACAATGTTAGCTACAATTCTATGCTATACATTCCACACTACAGTACAAGATAAACAAACCTTCACTTAAAGCGCTTGGCCCATAGAGCTCAGCAGCCTCTATGCACGCTGCGTTGGTGAGGTCCATGATATTCAATTCATCCCCCCTCTTCCTCACCAACTTCCTCACCTCTTCCTCCTCATCCTCATTCAAACTAAACCTATTCTGGTTGGCCCTTTTAGCCTTCCAGGAAGCTAACGCCCTCACCTCGGCATCCCTTTTCCCCCACTCCGTATCATCAATAAAAAAGAATTTTTCCTTCCATCCCTTAATGGATGAAGGACCCGCAGTAAATAAAACCCTACTCTCCCTCTTATCTACCCTAGGGGTGAAATAATACCACCCCTTATCCCTCCTACTTCCTCCCTTCAAAACAAAAAAATACTTAAACATATTTACAGTTGGCACTCTGATCCCCTGAGCTCGGCAATAAACTAAAAAACCTATTATTACCCTCATTGCGTTGGGGACCAACTGTGTCAACCCTATGTTGTAATCTAATAGCAAACCTATTAGCAGCTCAGGAAGTGGAAACCTGAGCCCCGCTATCAAGTAGTGGGAATACACAAGCATCCAGTGATCCTGAGGAGCAGAGCACGCCCTCTCCTCTACCCCAGCTGGCCTAACTAATACCCGAGAAGAGATCTCGTACGTTTCAACTAAGTGACACAGGTCATCCCTGGTCCTTAGTTCAGATCGATGCTGCTTCACTTCCTCCACTATATCTGCGTTTCTATCATAACCTCTCTCCCCATTACTTTCTACTTCTACTACGGTGATGGGTATGCTATCTACCCCAACTCCCATCACCTCACCCCTCCCAACCTCTGCCACCTCATCCCCCCCCAACCTCTACCACCTCATCTCCTCTCACCCCCTCCACTGTTCTCTCCGAACTAGTTGGCGATGGACTACTCTCTGTGTCCATACTCCCATAGTCCAGGGGCTCCACCTCACTCCCTACTATACTCCCTGTCCTTTCTGAAGACATTTTCTCAAACTCTGCATGAAATAGGGGGGAGGAATGAAGTCAGGACTTAAAAAAAAAAAAAACCCCCCTTTTCATTACACATTCAGCACCCTTCTCATCTCTAACCCTAACGTCCTTCAAAGGACTCTAAATCAATCACAGAAAGGAAGAAAGGAGAGAGACGCTTCGATTAACTCAAAAATCAGAAGTTCGGGTACAGTACCTGATTTCGGTTTTGAAAGATTTGATGTAAAGATCCCCAGTTGATACCGCAGTTCACGAACAGAAAATGCAAAACGAAGCTTCTCGCAGAAGTTTTGCAGGAAAAGAAATGCAAGTAAACCTTTTTCTGCAGAAAAAATGCCTATTTATACTTCTGGGCAAAATTAAATCTCAACGGCTGGGATTCATTTAATCTTACGGTTCCTGTTGATACCGTTTAGAATTCGACGGTCAACCTTAAACGGTACCGTTTTGAATTTGACGGTTCGTTTTTTTATTTTTGCCCGTTTAACTGTTGTAGTTATCTTTTTACGGCCGCATTTATTGCGCACGTCATTCTAAAGACAACTGTCACACCTATGTCAGTATTACACGGGCCCACTTATGCCCATCTCAACACCTCTGTTCACTTTTGCATATTCTCAATTTTACAAGTGTTTCACTTCGGCTCTGGCCACAGTAATGCTGCATTACATTTCACCTCGGCTTCGGCCACAGCAACCAATCTCACACATTCTATTTCGGATACGGGCATTATGCCCTCAGTTATTGTATTTTATTATGGCCCTGGCCAATTTTACTTCTTTATTTATATTTTGTTATATTTTATTCTGTCTTTATGCTTCGGTCTAACTCAGCACTTCTGTTTACTTTTATAATTATAATTGTTAGCTACTTTACTTCGGCCATGGCCACGGTGACCCAGTGTCACATGTTTTACTTCGGCTACGGCTACGGTGACCCAGTGTCACATGTTTTACTTCGGCTACGGCCACAGTGAC